TTACTTAATAGGTAGTAGGCTTTTTTTTTTTTAGGTAAAATGAAATACTTTATTAATTATATGATAAAGGACATACAAATATATAAAATATATCTAAAGCTTGGTAACGAAATTACCTCCCTCCATACCTTACGTTTATCCAATTCACTGATACCTTTGTTTGTATTACTTTAATAGTAATTTTAAAACATGTTACACACACACAATTTATATTGACATTGTTTGTACGACAATATCGGAATCATCACTCCGAAAATTGGATATAAATTTACTCAGTTTGGTCTTACAATAAAATGATAGTACCCTTATTCTCTTCTTTTTCGTTTATAAATATGTCATGTTCGAAAATATTTTCAGGAGATTTACCTGAACTAATATATGAAATCATTGAATATTTTCAAAATGATTATTCAACCTTACATTCATGTATTTTGGTTAATAAACTATGGTGTCGTTTAGCAATTCCATTATTATGGAAAAATCCATTTTCAATCCCTACCGGAAATTACAATTTTATTGAAATTTACTTATATAATTTAAATAAATATTTAAAAGAAATATTAAATGAATACCAAATTATTGATTCTTTATTAACTTCAAATACACTTTTCAATTATCCTAGTTATATAAAATATTTAAATATAAGTAAAATTAACCCTTCTATTGAGTTATGGTTAAAAGCTCATAATATAAACTTAAATATGGATTTAGTATTTGAATTTAAAAAATTTATTAATATATCATTAATTAAATTATTTATTGAAAATGAAGTAAATTTACATACCCTTGAACTTGAGGCCTCTAATGCTTATTATACTAACACATACTATATTAATAATATTCTTGAAATAATTTTACAAAATCCAAATTTTATTAGTAATAATATTATAAATTTAAAATTTTCTATTTCAAGTTCTATTAATAATAACCGTATATCACAATTAATTAATTTACAACAAAATCTCAAAAAAATATCCTTCAGTTCTAATACCCTTCCTTTATATCAATCATTATTATTATCAAAAGAATCTAATTGTTCAAATACCTTAAATACAATCATTTTCCGTGATATCAATTTTAGAGGTATAAATAATTTAGATAAAATATTTGAACAATTAAATGTTTTGGAATCTGTTCATTTAATTTATTGTTATTCTTTAAATACTGAATTTATTCAACAATTTATTAATTTAACTAAACCAATTAAATTAAAATCTTTATTTATAAATGAGATTCCACGAATTGAATCATTAGAATTATTATTGCAAAAATCTGGTAATTATTTAGAAAATTTTGGGTATGGATTAAGATTTTCTTTTTTTGGAATGCAAACAAAACGACAATTATTAGAATTAATTATAAAATATTGTAAAAATATTAGATTACTTGATTATTGTGTATTTAATGACGACATTAATTCTTTAATGTCCAGTTTAATTGAAAATATTAAACAAAATCTTAATTATCTTTCAATCAATTTAAGTAATTATAAAAATAATAATATCAAGTTAATATTACAAAATTTAGGACAAACACTTCCTTCTAAAATTGAATATTTAAGTTTGGTTCTTGACATTAAAGTAAATGATATTGAAATATTCTTAAAAAATTCTAAAGTTACTTTCTTTAAGAAATTGGTAATTAAAATTGTAAGCCAAAAAGATGTTAATTATGTTGCTGTTGTACCTTATATAAAAGAATATATTATGAAGAAGAAAAGAGTTAAATATTTAGCTATTAAGAGTACAATTTTTAGTAATACTAAGTTATATTGTATGGATTTGTTTGATTTAAAAGACGAAGTGAAAGAATTTAAGTTACATAATATTGAAGTACTTAGTTATATTAAATTATTTACTGATATTACTGATATTTATAGATTTTCAAATGAAATTGATTAATTATTTAGTTTTTTTTTAAAGTATTGGATAGAAATATTTTTAAATTTATAAATGGAAGTTGCTTTATGAATTACTTATCCACTTAATTTATTTATAATTATTTTTTAAAGTATAGTTAAACAATTGTTAATCGCTTGAAGAAAGTTTTTAAATAAATATTATAAAATAATAATTAAGAAAAGGATATAAAACAGGACCCAGAAATATATATATATAGGGTCAGGTGATGAAAAAAATTTTTTACGCATTTTTTCAGGGCCGGAATTATGATAATGTCAGTCAACTACTATAATAGGAAATAACATTTTGACTGGCATTATTAAAAATTATCTAAAAAAGGAAGGATTTTCATGATTTTTTAGTTCAAAATACGAAAACTCAAACCTGACCCTTATATATATATTTCTGGGTCCTATCTCGCCCAGGTTTGTGAACATTGAGTTCATGAAAGCATTATAAGTAGCCTGTTTGCGTATAAATTGTTAATGGATTAGTTACTATGATCTGGTGAGGCAACTTTTTGAAATAGACATGATTTATCTAACATTGAGGAGAGATCAAAAAGTAAGAGCAACTTTATCCACATGGCCACGGCAGTTATAAATGCTTTAAGAATTTCTTTATATGATTTAGTAAGTATTTCGTTCACTTGGCTGTTATAAAATCGTTAGAGTCTTTGGCTGATTCATATGAGGGACATAATATGTTTTGGTCTGAAAATACATGTGGATAATAACGTTTTTGTAATACTCCTGTGGTGGTGACAAAAACTTTTAATTTTGAATCCATGTGTTGTTCACTGCATATCGTATTGCTCTATGAGCCATTTTTGTATGTATAGCCAATCAATATTCAGAGTAGATTAATATGGTCCATTTTCGAATTATTAAGTTATTTTCACATTAGTATTTATTTTTCTATAAATAATAAAGGCCATAATTTCATAAATCATGAGACTTTAAGGTCCGAAATTTTGTTTGCATATTTTGCGGGATTTTCAATATCAGGTGCCAATTATGCCCTATAAAAAAAATTGGATACGTTTTTTATAAAGTTTTTATACGATTTTTTTCCTTAGAAATAACGTATCATAATAGGATACGGAAAAATGCACAATTCCGTATCACTAAAAATATGGTTTGGATACGGAATTTGCACGGGATTCATATGGAATTTACATGATTTGATCACTGATTTTATCACGAAATTTATACGATTTGGTCACTGAATTTACTATTTGTATTACAGTTTACTATAATTGTATTTACATAATCTAATTTTACTTTATTAAATTAAATAAAAAATAAAAAACAAACAAAATAAAAATACATTATGAAAGTTCCCTCCTTGTTAAAGCCATCTAATGCAACCAAAATTATCTATAAGTTCAGGTTCATTTGGAGTCAAACAACCTAAAAAAACAAAAAAAAAGAAACATAAGAACGTCTAACTTAATTGGAAACAAAACCCCTCTCATATAGTATCTGAAATCGTCCAAGTCACCAAAGGTCAGCATTCCTACAAAAAAAGAAAGAGAACTCCAGAATGTCTGACCTACATAAAAGAAAAGAATTATGAAGTGTCTGATGAAAAAGAAACCAAAACAACAAAATAAATCCAAAACTGACCTACAAAAAAAGAAGACTTGGAAGCAACAAAACTGAAACAACCTACAAAAAGAAAAGAATCTGAACCCAACTTACAAAAAAAAAAAGAAATTTGAACTGACCTAAAAAAAGAAAAAAATACTGAACCATACTACAAAAAGGAAAGGACTCCCAAACTGATCTAGTACAAAAAAGAAAAAAGAAACTGAATCTTCTCACAAAAAAAATCTGCTGGCCTATGAAATAAAAAAAGGGATAAATATAAATAAAAAGAAAGGGGAATAAAGAATAATCAAAAAAAATATTTTTTTAAAAAGAGGGTAACGAAGTTAGTAAAGTTAAATTTTTTTTTAAAGGGAGGACGTCAAAGTTAGAAAATAAAAAATTTTTTATAAAGACAGGAAATAGAAAGAAAAATTTTTTTTTTAAAAAAAAAGAAGAGTGGGAATAAAAGAATAAAATCAAAAAAAAATTTTTTTTTTAAGGGAGTGACGAAAAAAATTTTTTTTAAAGTGAGGTACGAAAAAAAAAAAATTTTTTTTTTAAAGGGGGGTTGACGAAGAAGAAAAATTTTTTTTAAAAAAAATAACAAAAATAAGACAAGAGAAAAGGAAAGACAGAAAGGAAGATCAAACTCATCAAAGTAAGGATTTATATAAAAACAAAAAACGTATCATAACAAAACAATAAACAATCACGTGATCTCGTGATCTCGTGTTATGATACGTAAAATTATCTTCTAAAAATATTAAGTTTAAAAATTCCGTATACATTCCACATAATTAATTTTTTCCGTATACATTTAGTTTTTTTAAAAAAATGTTCAAAAATGAATTGCTTATTAAATATACGGAATTTGTATACGGAACATATAGAAACGTACATAAAATGTATCCTTTCCGTATACATATTTCTTATAGGGATGCGTACCGCTCTTATGGAAGTCTTTGCGTACAGCTCATAGTAAAAAATTTATTCGCCACCCCATATATATTTCTGGATCCTCAATACAATAAATTTGCCATATGTACTGTCTCAATTTATCACAATTACAAAAAGCAATACGCTCGTAGCGGACAAGATTTTCAGATAAAATATTTCATCTTTGATCACCATGGGTGAGTATTCTTTTTAAAAGTTGGAAATCACATTTTTATTTTTTTATTAAGCCTAAAAATGAAAACTCTACGTTCAAAAAGTCAATGTATACAATGTATATATAATAAGTTTTTTGTAACACAAATTAATGGCTCCAAATACACTATTTACGCTTTTACTTTTACCACAGAATGACCGAATGACCTAATTATTTCTGATCTATAATTCAAAGTCACCTTATAAAAAGTAGGTAAGTTTTTTATACTGAAAGATACGTTTGTATACTGAGAGATACATTTAGATACGTCTTTGTATACTGAAAGATACGGAGAAATGCATAATTCCGTATCTAAGATACGTTTTATATCCCAAAAAATGTATCAGGTGAGATAGGAATTGTTCATATCTCTCAGTATGCATCTACTTTTCTTGTCGGATTTATTTATTTTATTATTATTCGAACAATGCCTCAATAAATATTATCAAGCACGCGATATTAATATACTGTATAAGGACCAGAATGTTCATTATTTTATTAGTCAACTAAGCCTTTTTTTTTAGTAACACGCACTCCTTTATTGAAATGTAACAAATGAAAAAACATTTTCATACAAATCTTAATACGTAATAAAGAAATACATACAGTAGAAGTATAAAAATATGACTATCTACTGCGCTAGCCACAATGGATGCGCCAATTCTATACTATCTATGTCTGTAAGTCTATCTAACGCCTATAAACTATACCTTTTGTTTTCGCGATTTTTAGGATTTGCTAAAAGTCTTGATCCATAATCTTTATTCAACCGGTTATGTTCATAAACTTAAATATCTGATATAGACTACATTTTGCAATCCTTCATATGATGACGGTGTTTGTTATTGTTGTAAGTTCGTTTGTCCACCCGTTTGTTTGAACCACGTGATTCAAAAGTTGCATTCTCCAAAACGGTATGACCTTTCTCTTCTGCCCAATATGACGTCAAAGGTTCTGCATGGGTTGAATCCTCTTGTTTCTTCGTCTTCTTTATCCTCCCATAATTCCGTAATGATTTCTTGAACTTCTTCCATCATACTTGACTTCTCGATGTAGTGTTGATTTTTGGTATTTCTTCGATCAAAACATCTTGTCTATATTTATTTACCATTAGTCGACTAAGGCCACACAAATTCAATTTTTCGGTTCACGTAACATTGAAATTTAAAATCGACCCGGGTATCCGGGGTTTGTTGTTTATTTATAAAAAAAAATTATATATAAAATCGTGGCATTTGATCGGTTGACTTTTAAAGGAGGAATTCAGAAGTTCTCAGCCACGTGATAAACGTACCCGCCAATAAAATTACTTTCTGATCACGTGATAAATTTTTATATATAAACTTTTTTTATTGAAATTTGAAAAAGTGACCCTGCCGGGTGAAGTGTGTGGCCTAAGCTTTTAATTATACTTTTCATAAGCTTTATATTAATTGGATCTAATATCAAATAGCGTATAAAAATTATACACGAAGTTTATTGACACATGATTCTGTATTACACAGTGTAACATTATATTATAAGCGTGATGACCGTGATGTGCTAAATATCGGTACGACAACTACGACATGTACATGAGTCCTATAGGGCCGTATATTATATTACAATTATACAATTAAACTAGACACGCTGATTCATAAACGAACTTTTCATTTTTATTTAAGGTAGAAATGAAGGAGGAGAAGATTGATTACTAAATTGACTAAAGTACAATAAAAAAAAAAAGTAAGGAAAAAAAAACTATTTTTTTTTTTTCGAATAAATTTTTTAAGAATTTCTTAAATTTTTTGAAATCAGTACGGGTTAAAATTTACAAAAACCTAATTTACACAAAAATTAATCTCATTGTAGATTTATATTACGTGATAACTAAAATAAAATTAATTTAACATTGTTCTAAGTATTTTTGGGAAACAGAGAGACCCACTCCCGCTATAAAGAATAAGCAAAAATATCCATCGCTGGTTTTGCGAAGAGGAGAGATATAATTGGCCTAGTTTCCTGAGTATCCCGTGTTTCCCAAACTTCCTGGGTCTTTTGAGTTCCTCGAGTTTCCTAAATTTCTAAAGCTTCCAAAGTTTTTCGAGTTTCCAGAAGTTCCGGAGTTTCTTGAGCTTCTCGAGTTTCTGAAGCTTCAAGAGTTTCTAGAGTTTCCAAAAGTTCTGGAATTTCTTGAGCTTCTAGAGTCTTCTGAATTCCTTGGGCATCTTCAGATATCAATTTTATCTTGGCAGCGTAATCAAGGAACTGATAGTAAATACATAAAATTAGCATCAAACATATAGAACGCTTTCTTAAACATCTCAATAGCTAAAGATTATTACCTCATCAAAGGGAATATGCTTTTTATTATTACCACAAATCTCATCGAATTTCTCCTTTAGCATTGTATTTGATTTCACACTTATTCCAATTAAATCATGTCCTTTTTTGAATTCCTCAAAATTAATACGTCCATTATTATCTATATCAAGTCTTTTAAATATACAAGATAATTCATTGTAGTAATGAAGAAGATCGATGAGACGTCCAAATTCATTGAAATCAATAACGCCATCCTAAAAGATTAGATAATATGAGTACATTAAGTTTTTTGATAGATAGATAAAATTAAAATAATGAAACTAATTTTCAACGAACCCGTGAAACATCAGCAGCTTTGTAGGCACGCATGATAATAGAGTCATTTTCTAAGAAGTGTGGATAGAGTCTAACAACAGCTCTATTGATCTCATCGTAGGATATAGTACCGTCATTATTATAATCAAATACGCCAAAAATCTATCATATAGATAATATATATAAGTTTATCTCGGTTTATCTTGAAAGCTACGACGAAATGAAATGTTTCTAGATACCTTTTTGACCTGATTTTTACTTAGTTTTCTGATAATGAATTCCGCTTTCTCGTTATAGTAATGAAGAGCATCAATGAGATATTCAAATTCTTTAAAATTAATGAAATCACCCTAATAAAATTTGGCAAAGTGAATTTTAGTTTTAATATGTAAAATTAAAAGATGAAAGCATATTTACAAAGATCCTACCTGTGAAGATTTAGGTACTTTTTCATTGTAAGCCTGCATTATAACAGACTTATTTTTTTTAAGGTGTGGATAAAGTGACAAAACGACTTTATTTACTTCGTCAAGAGGTAAGACACCTTCGTTGCTCCAGAAATCAAATACCTATCGTCGGTAGTGGAAATGAAGTCAATATTTTAAAGGTTACATGACACTATCCTAAAAGTGTTTTTAGTTACCTCCGTGATCTGAGCTTCGTCTAATTTTTTAGTAGAGATAACTGCTTTCTCACTATAATCTTGAAGATATTCAAATAAATCATCGAAATCTTCAAAGTTGATAAAACCATCCTAGAAAATTTAGCACAGTAGAAAATTAACGTTTAGTTCGCTTCAAATATGTAGGATTAAAACGATGAAATAAAGTAAACCTTTGACTTTTTAGCGAGTTCTTGAGCTTTTTTGATGACGGTTTTCTTAGCAGTGTCATCATATGCGAGATGTGGATAAAGTTCAACAATAGCTCTATCAATTTCAGCGAGAGAAAGACCACCATTTTCGTTATAATCGAAGAGATCGAAAATCTATCGCAATGATTAATGATTAAGTTTTCAACATCATAAAGTACCACCTAAAACATTAAAGTATTACTAGGTATAAATACCTTTTTAAATTGAGCTTTGTCTAAGTCTAATTCTTCGATAGTTGTAATCGCTTTTTTTTGGGTGAGTTTGCCACATTTTTTGGGAATTCTATTATATGCTCTCTTGTCCATTTTTTCTTTTTAGCTCACGTATATGATTGGGAATTTCTGTACTTTGGTATATTTTCCAACTGTATTTATATTTAACGGACGTGTTAAGATTTCATTGAAAATAGCTTAATTTCGATAAAAAAAAAATTTTTCATTTATCAATTCTGCAGTATCACAATAGACATTCAAAAAATTATTTTTAAATAATAAAAAATTTATAATATTTTATTGAAATGATTGAAAATATCGAAATTTCGGAAAAGTTAACCGACTAGTATCAACTTAATCATTAATCTATATTTGGTTGTTAGAACGAAGCAGGGTATCCTTTTAAAAGAATCAATATTAGGGATCAAAATTCATAGGATCAACATCGCATTAAACTCCATTATAAAAAATAAGGAGATTTAACTTATTATTGTACCGATTGAGATTGGAAATTGCTTTTTAAATTATAAAAATTATAATTTTTATTGAAATGATTTAGATTGGAAATTATTTAATGTAACAAATATCGAAATTTCGGAAAAGTTAACCCGGACTCACAAGATAAATATGGCTAGCATCAATTTATCACTAATCCATATTTGGTTATCAGAACGAAGCGGGGGTATTTTATAAAGAATAAACAAATCATAGGATCAACATCAGATCTAACTTTAAATAACGATGAAAATTTTAAGCATTTAAAAATGTGACAAAAATAGGGTAACAAACCAGTGCAAAATACTCGTTGACAAGAGTAAGTTAAACGTTAATGTTTTGTTTTGGCAAAGAAAAATTTTTATATTTTATTTTTATTATATGTTTAAATAAAATATACACGTTTAATATTTCAATCATTCATTTTACCTTGCTGAAGATTCTTTAGAGAAGTTAATATGCAGTAACTGCATTACTGCAGGGTAACCTTCACATGATAACGCCTTTATGCGTCAAGTTAAAAAAAAATATAGTTTGCCTTTCGACTTTTGGTTTATTATTAAAAAATATGAGTGCAAATGAAAGCCTTAAATAGATTTTATGAGTTAAAATTACTCCCGGTTTTAAACTCCAGTATTTGCATTTGTGGTTTCAGGCGAAAAAATCGAAATCACGTGATGTTAAATTAAACTAACTTTCCGCATGATCATATGATATGTAATATTTATTTTAAACCTAAATAAATTTATTTTTAGAAAACTTTCACCATTCATTTAAACACGAATAAAGTTATCGTATAGAATATTATTATTATTATTATTATTTTCACCAGACCTTATTAGTATTGCGGGTAATTGCTAACGCAATATATCGTATAGATATCTGATATTATTGAATAAGTTATTCGTTAGCGAACTGATTGATTATGTAGTGTAACTATTACCTCGTCAATTCCTACTAAATAAAAAATTTTTTTTCTGTGCCTCGCAACACCGCGAACTTTATTAAGAGTAATTTAAAATTCCGTACCTTCTATTCATCTGAATTCACATATTTGCTATTTCTAAAAAATGAAATCAAATTCTGCAAGGATTAAGAAGCTAGCATTAAATTCTTTCTCCTTAGAATCATTGAATTCCTTCCTGAATTAAATTTCCATCATTTAAAATTTGTCATAAAAGAAATCATTCAACGCGTCTGCTAGTAAACGCATTTCTTTATTGACTGTTATCGTAACACAATTAGTGAATTACAAGAATTAAAACACATGATCGTGAATTAATACTAGCATGTGCTATTTCGTCCGTATTATCTGAATATAAAAATAAAAAAAATAGTACAGACGAAAAATTTAGTACTTAATCTAATTTTGAAGTTCTTACGTCTATCTCTATCTATGCATTCCCGGTATATCGTTCCTTACCACCTTCAATAAAATTAATTTACATAAAATTTATGTAATTCAATTGATTCGTATACCTATCTACATAATTAATTCCGATACCCTAGCTGCTTATATAATCCTGAACGCTTCCTGCGCGGATTTATGTGCTCCACGTACTTTAAATACTAATAAAGAAATGCGTGTTACAAAAAATATGCAATATTGGTACTTTGTCGATCAAATGTATTGTAGTACATTTTCAATTGGTTGACGATCAACCTTTATTCTTAAATTCCAAATTAAGAAACCTGTATTACATTTTCTGCAGAAAATTATATAAAATTAACCCATTTCTGATGTAATGTTAAAACCGCCCACCTTTCCCTATCTCTCCTTTATATAATATGGCATGTTCAAAATTATTTTCAGGAGATTTACCAGAATTAACAGATGAGATCATACAATATTTTCGAAATGATTATAAAACGTTATATTCATGTGCTTTAGTTAATAGATTTTGGTCTCGATTAACAATTCCATTATTATGGGAAGATCCATCGAGTCTTCGTTTCATCGAAATTTATTTATATAGATTAAATGATAATGATAAAGATAAATTGAATAATTATTGGGATAAAAGTAATCCATATTCGAATACATTATTTAATTACCCTAGCTTTATTAAATATTTAAATACAAAGAAATTTATTATCTCAATTAATTCATTTATAAACGAGGAAAAACTTTCTAATCGAATCAAGAATTCTGACAATGTTGAGAGAATAATTTGTGATTTAATAATTAAATTATTTATCGAAAATGAAGTAAATTTAAATACTTTTGAACTTGAAGTGATTATCGATGATTCACTCGTTTCTTTTGAATTACTTTTAGAATGTTTAAAATTTATTTGTGATATGAAAAATTTAGAATCATTCTATTTTCAAATGGCAATAATGGATTATGATGAATATAATAATAAAATTGAGGAATTTTTAATGGAAATAATTAAATCACAACAAAATCTCAAAAATATTTCATTTGAAAATGTTAGTCTAAATGATTTTTTATCTTTAGAAAATAATATGAATCTTCCGATTTCATTATTTACAAATTCTAATTGTTTGAATACTTTAAACAAAATTATATTTTTTGATACTGATTTTAAAAATGTGGAATTAAAAGCGATTGAATCATTAAATGTTTTAGAATCAATTCATATTCTTTATTGTATTAATTTAAATTCTGATTTCATTCAACAAATCATAAGTTTTACTAAACCATTTAAATTGAAATCATTATTTATGAAAACAAAAATTCAAATTAGATTATTAGAATCATTATTACAAAAATCTTGTGATTACTTAGAAAATATTGGATTTAAATTATCAATGTATAAGTCGGGACAACTTGAGCCAATTATAAATCAATGTACAAAGATTAGATATTTTGAATTAGTACGTAGAATTAATAATCAAATGTCTTTCCCTGCTTTAAATTTAATTAAAAATTTTGGAAAAACTCTTAACTTCCTTTCTATAGAATTTTGTAGATATAGTCATGTATCAAGTAATGATATTAGACATAGTTCAAATATATTTTTAAAATTAGGAGAAATCCTTCCTCCTAAACTAGAATATTTAAGTTTAAGTCTCATGATTAATGCAAGAGATTTTAATACATTTTTATTCAAAACTCGAAATATTATTATTAAAAAATTATTAATCGAAAATTTGATGAAAGAAGGTGATTTAATGCCTTATATAAAGGAACATGTTATGAAAGAGAAAAGAGTAAGATATTTGGCTATTAATGGAGGTGTTTCTGAAAATGATATAAAGGAATTTGAATCTTATAATATTAAAATTGTGAATTTTGATGATTTTTATATTCGAGCTTATGAATTTGTAAACGAAATGTATTAGTATTATCAATAGTTTATTACAAGTTGTAAAATGTGATTTATTTTTATAATAAATAAAGAAAGTTTGTTTTTGATTATTGTTATAAATAAAGTTTTTTATCACTACTATGAAATATATTAGTCATACCATCAGCAACTATAGTGTACGGTATTTGGAATTTCATATAATCTAACAAATTTTCTTGCTCTGGTAGTATGCAAGTTTTCGGATCTTTTGATCCTGTTGCTATCTTCTTATGTTACCTACTTACTTTCTGAATGTTCCCTACCTGAGTTTTCTTCTGTAGAATTAAATGTTTTAGAATCTGTTCAACAAATTATTAATTCAACTAAACCAATTAAATTATTTACTATAAACTAGCAGTAACCCGTTGCTTCACACTGGGACCAATGAATTTGTTTAAATAGAAAAATTTTAGTATTATAATGTAATATTAAGTAAATTAAAGATGGTTACAGTAGTTTTTTGTAATTTAATATGGTAATAATTAGTCAACAAAAAATAATAAATTAATATGTATTAAATTATTACTATAATATAGCTTATATTAATGATTTGACGTTTGCGATTTAATAATTTTTCACCTAGGGTGATTGAACCTATATAATTTACCTGGTGATATCACCTCATTAATCATTATTAAATTTGTACATTAAATTTTATTGGCTAATTATAATAATGAGCTGATCATTTTATATTTTGAATTCATTGTTTTTAGGTCTTTCGGTTCTTCTTTGTAACTACTAAGGTATGTTTTTTTATTTTTTTTGTTTTTGTTTATTTATTACATGTAATTTCCATTTCCTACTAACTTTATTTCTTCTTTAGTTCTATGGGTTTTGTTTTTACTTGGTCCCCCTGTTTATCTCATTTCGTCCCTTCAACACTTTTTTGTTTTCTTTTTGTCTCTTCATCTCTTTTGCTCTTTTTATTCTTCCCTTCCTTCATTTTTTCCATTGTTTTTTATTTCCTCTTCGTTCCTTCATCTTTTTCATTCCTTTACACTACCCTTCGTTCCTTTCATTTTTATTTCATTCCCACTTCATCTTTTTCGTTCCTTTACACTATCCTTTGTCATTTTCATTTTTTTTCCATTCTTACTTCTCTTTACACTACCCTTTGTTCCTTTCATTTTTTTATTTCCTTTGCTCCATTTCGTCCCCCTCCATTCTTTTCATTTTTTCATTCCCACTTGATATTTTTCGTTCCTTTAGTTTCTTTCACTCCCCCTTTGCTCCATTTTGTTTCTCCCTCACTCCCCCTTCGTTTCTTTTATTCCCTTTTACTCTCCTTATTTTTTCATTCACTCTCATTTTTTTTGATTAATTTTTTATTAATTATAAACTTTAAAATTATTTATTATTTATTATTTTATATTACGTCAATCTTAAACTTATAACCAACTTAAAAAAAATATTTGAATAATTAAATGTATTAGAATCTATTCATTTCATTTATTATTATTCTTTTGATACTTAATTTAACTAAACCAGAATCAAAATCTTTATTCAAAAATCTGGTAGTTATTTAGAGAATTACGGATATAGATTTGGTTATAATAATCTATTATTAAATCAACAATTTCTTCAAAAAAAATACATATTTTATAATTAATTGATTGATTTTATGAATTTGAAAATCATACTATTTATCTAATGTTCAATTTAATTGAAAAAATCTTACTAATCTTTCTATCAACGTTGATATATCTGATATGTTTATTTTGTTTAAAAAAATAATGATTTTGTAAATATATTTAATAAAATATTTTATTTTTTATTTAATAATAAAAAAAAATTTAAAAAAAATTTGAGAGGAAGAAAAAGGATTAAGAAAGAAATCAGTTTAAAAAAAGGAATCTGAAAAAAAAAAAATAGGTACTAAAAAAATTCTGAAAAAAAACAATAATCCAATCCAAAAGAGTGAAAAAAAAAAATTTTTTTTTTTAAAAAATAACAATACGGTTTAAAAAAAAAGATTGAAAAAAAATAAAATAAAATAAATTGGTCTTAAAAGACCAAAACAATGGGGATTATTTAATAAAAAAAAAATATAGTTTGGAAAAAAATTAAACCTAAACGGGAAAAGAATAAGAAAAAACAAAATTTTCAGGTTGAAAAAAACTAAACTGAAAGAAAAGGGAGAAAATTTTTTTTTCAGTTTTGAAAAATTTTTTAAAAAAAAGGAACCAAAAAAAAAAAATCGGACAAAATTTTATTAACTGAAATTGGATTAGTTGATTGGAATCGAGACCATAAATAGATCAGGCAGAAGCATGTAAAATTTTAATTATATGGCATGGGATTTCAAGTTACATAATTCAAATTATTTATATAGAGACTAATCCAAACGTCAGACAAATTTTTTTTAATTATATAGATGTTAGTCTATTATTGAGTTTGATACAAAGAAATATTAATAATAAGAATCAGGAAAAAAGGCAATTTGCTGTGGCGCCGCAACATTGATCTGATCATCGATCCAAACCTAAATAGTGAAAGAATGTATTCGGGAAAAAAAAATTTGGTTTGAAAGAAAAAACCAAACCAAAAAAGGAAAAGGGAAAAAAAAATTTAGATCAAAAAAAACCAAAAATAAAAAATTCCGATTAAAATTTCATTAACCTTAGATGTTGTAATGCCGTAATATACCTAGTAAATTTATTAATTATGAGGCGCAGTATTACATTTAGAATTAATATATAAAATTTTTACGTAATAAATATAACGTCCTAAACTAATAGCCTATTAGGTCAGATGATTGAAATATCAGGTGGTTAATTTGCAGATCATGACGAAAGATCTAGAATTAGAAAAAATTCTGGAACAAAAAAAATTTTTACAGCGTCGTCGTTTATTTTTATAAATATTACAAAAACGTTCGTTTCCATTTATTTCTGATAAGAGTTTTATGTTATGTTCTCACTTTATTATAGTTACACTTTTTATCATTCTTTATTATATATAAAATATTACATTTTACTTCGTTTCTTTATTATTTTAGTGTTAAAAAGTCAGGAAAAATTTTTTTTCACTGGATGTTTTGTAATAGTCCAACCGGTTTCTTCTTTTTACCTCCTTTCATTATCACGAATATGTGTAACGAAGTAACTCCTAACCCCTGCCAACCTACCAAGGCTATAGTTCGTCTTTACCGACCAGCAAAGGTCCATACATTTTGCTTTCATATCAAAAAACTCAATCCCTACGTCCGTTGTGACACTAGAGGAAGTGGCACATTATACAACACTAGTATAGGTCGTTATTACCTGCTCGATTTTAATTATAGAGCTGATCATCCTAACACTGATGATAAATTATACCAGATTTACACCAATGATATTGAACTATCACAAGAACACTGTCGTACATTTGGATCAACATCTAAGATTGCCAATCTCAACTATTTAATAGGAAATTACCTCACGTTCGTATTCTCTCTTAATAGGCAATTTCCTAAGCACATCGTAAACAAATACTTTAAACGTTTACGCCAATCATTAATAGAAAAATTTTCTGCGATACGCCGCCGATTGGACCTCAACAAAAACACCAATATAATTAGTTGGAAGTCAACCAGAACTTTTATTAAATTTAGTTTTGAAAATCACGTGATTTTCATAGGCTTTCACCTTGCCTGCGGACATAATGATTGCCCAAGACCTGCGGCTTCAGTTAGTAATCAAGATCGTTGGCGTTGTAATCGCCATCATAAGGCCATTGTAATAGAACACCCTACAAATCCTCTCACATCAGTTAAAACTTCTATCAAATCTACAAGTATGACGATTAATACTGCAGCACCAAAGCACGATCCTAAATTCCATTGTAATAAATCAACTATTGGCGTCAGTAAAGACGTTCATTTGCAACGCCTTGGTGTCAGTTATACGGTTACAATACGAAAATATAACTGTCAAGTACAAACCACAAAACGCTAGGTTACAATATAGCGTAACCCCAGAGACTAAAATTAACTCCAAAAAAAGAGTTACTTCAGAATATCGTTATTTTAAAGAATATTCACGTCTTACTTTCGACATACACCGTTCTTCAAACAAATTGAACGATGGAAGCGGCTTACCACCAGTGTTCTTAGACACGAACATAACGGAATATCCTTCAAAAATAAACCTTTCCTGCTAAATGAGGATAAGAATAACTCCAAACCTTATGTGGTTTTCAAACAGATCTATCACTTACCGAAACGGACACATGATAACATAGGTTATATCGAACAATGTGAAAATTGTGCCAATAAGAAATTATTTCGATCAACAAAAAATTGGATCCGTCGAGTCAAAAAGCGTAACAAACTTAAGAAAAGATTACCTCCTTTACCACCAGATTTTAACAGTGACGCTCGCTTATTCTATTACAACACTTACAATCTTAATTTGTTCAACTATAAAGTACGCTGCCATTTTGATGTCAGCTCACTTCGTGAATATAATTATGGCTATCATAAAGCCCTGGAACTCTACAAAAGCTTTAAAGATAGATCATCTCGCCGCATTACCCGGGAAGAAATATCTCCAATGATGGACAGTGATATGATTATTAATGCACGTGATCGTGCTATTATTAACGACTCCTCTACTTATTTTAGTAGATTTTACCTTCCGACTCCTCCACGTAAACAATAGACGCCAGTTCTTTTTATTTACCTGATTTTTGGGTTTTTGGGTTTTTTTTTATATATATTACTCCTTTATTATAGGATAGTTTTCATTTATAGTTTTATTTGATAGTTCTACTTCTTTATTAGAAGACAATTTCGGACCTACTAAAAATATACCATTCTATGCCTGACAGTATTTACGCATAGTAGTTAGTATAAGCCTAACTAAAAGAAAAATACAGGTGATCTGTTTGAATTGTTTTTTTATTTTTTTCTGTTCGCCTTTATCACTGTTACTTCCTAATTTTTGGTGGATGTGTCATAAATTAGTTTTTCTTAAAATTCTAGTCAGGGCTTGATTTATTGGGCGATGATGTTTACATTGTGCATTTTTTATAATTTTTATTAGTCTAAAATTATCAATGTACTCTCCTGGCTTACCTTAAAATAAAATAAATAAATAAATAAATAAGATCTAGAATTAGAATCATTAACGGATAAGAAATAGATTCAAGGAAATGTCAATCATTAGTATATTTTTTGGATTTTGATAGAGAAAAGGATGCATAGTAATTTTCCTTTTTAGATTATTATTTTAATTTCTTATAAATAGCCGATTTGGCCTTGTTGAAAGTGAGGCTACGAATTTTGAAAATAGCTAATAATTATCATATACCTTTAGAATAGTTAATTTCGATTCTTTTTGCCTTTTTCTTATGATGAAAAAGAGTCACATTAATTAATTTAATGGTATTATTAGAAGGTTCTAATATGGAGAGACTATCGCATTTTGAATTTTAGGATAAATATTTAATGGTTATTTAATATTATTAAACCATTGTATTTATTTATATTTATTAATAAAGTATTATTTTGTCAATATCTAAGGTGGCAACGTGACTTATCACGGGCTTAGGTATTACAAGGTACAACATGACTTGCCGATCAAGCGAGTCAGTCTCAACTATAAAGAACATGGATCAGCAATTCAAAATTAATTTATACAGGCTAATCTAAACGTTAGTCACACAAACACTTTTTTTTAATTATATAGATGAGATTCCACGAGAATTATTATTGCAAAAATCTGGTAATTATTTAGAAAATTTTGGGTATAGGTTAAGATTTTTTTTTTTTAGACTGCAAACAAAACGACAATTATTAGAATTAATTATAAAATATTGTAAAAATATCAGATTACTTGATTATTGTGTATTTAATGACGACATTAATTCTTTAATGTCCAGTTTAATTGAAAATATTAAACAAAATCTTAATTATTTTTCAATCAATTTAAGTAATTATGAAGATAATGAATATAGTAATATCAAGCCAATATTACAAAATTTAGGACAAACACTTCCTTCTAAACTTGAATATTTAAGTTTTGTTCTTGAACATCAAGAAAATGTTAATTATGTTGCTATTGTACCTTGTATAAAAGAATATATTATGAAGAAGAAAAGAGTTAAATATTTGGCTATTAAGAGTACAATTTTTAGTAATACTAAGTTATATTGTATGGATTTGTTTGATTTAAAAGACGAAGTGAAAGAATTTAAGTTACATAATATTGAAGTACTTAGTTATATTAAATTATTTACTGATATTACTGATATTTATAGATTTTCAAATGAAATTGATTAATTATTTAGTTGTTTTTTAAAGTATTAGATAGAAATATCTTTAAATTTATAAATGGAAGTTGCTTTATGAATAACTTATCCACTTATCCTATATTCATTTATTTATAATTATTTTTTAAAGTATAGTTAAACAATTGTTAATCGCTTGAAAAAAGTTTTTAAATAAATATTATAAATTAATATACGCCTCTATAGGACCATCATGTACACGTTGTACCAATAGATATTAATATTGTTATTGTACGGGCGTCATGCTTAATAATGATCTGATGTGGCACTCCGTGCCACATCATACCATTATCAAGCACGCCCGTACAATAACATACAAATAATAATTAAGGAAAGGATATAAAACAGGACCCAGAAATATATATATAGGGGTCAGGTGATGAAATTTACTATGAGCTGTACGCATTTTTTCAGGGCCGCACGGGTTGATCGACATTCGACATCCATCAATGCGGTCAAATGAGTTACCATTCCAATGAATAAAAAATATGGTGGTAAATCCAAGAAAAATTATTTTCGATATTGAAAAAACTGAATTAAAAAATTTATTTTTCGGTATTAAATATTAAATAAAAATTATTTTCAGTATTGAAAAAGACAAAAATAATACAAAAATAAGAACAAAATATTAATAATATAAAAAAAGTTGTCTAAAAAAAAAAAAAAAAAAANGAAAAAAGACAAAAATAATAAAAATATAAAAATATAATTAAAAAATTTGTTATATTTGAAAAAAAATAAAAATATTAATAATAAAAAAAAAAAATATTAATAATAAAGAAAAATCGGTTTTGGAAAAAAAACACCGAAAAAGAAATTTGAAAAAATAAAAAATTTCAGTTTAACAATTGAAAATAGTTTCAAAAAATTTTCATTAGCACTCAGTTAGTATTATTAAATTAAAATTCATCAACCGGAACTGGATTAGCCACAAAACTCTTCATAGATTGGCTATCAGAACTTACCGTCTTACGGTGGCACCGCAGTTTCGATCCAATCTGACCATCAAATCCGACTCTGTAAAAAAGTCAATCCGTTTTTTATATTCTATCCTATTCCGTAAAGACTCATATTTTCGTTTTCCGTAAATGGATCCGTGAAAGGCTCATTTTTACGGAGTTTTTACAGAAATAACGGATAAAATTTTTTATATACCTAAATAATGAAAGTGAGAAAAAAAGTATTAAGTCTCTTTTTCTTTTGGATGTCTTTTAAATAAAAGTTAAAAATTTTAAAATTCAAAACGTCATAAAATTATTTTTATTTTAATGTATCTCTTACATAGTACCTATTTTACAAGTATGTACCTTTTTCAAATATAAAAAAAAATTAAATCAATTGACTAAATAATTTAATGGGCTATACAATAATACGAATTACCTATTAAAATTATGTCGATGATCAGAATGCAAACAAAAACGTAAATGTCATTTTGTTGTTAATATTAAATTTAATTTTATTATTAATTGTTAATGGAAACTAGTATAGACCTGAAATTTCATCCAAATTAAAAAAAACTATATTTATTTGGTTTATAATTAAACTATGGACGACTACTGCATACAGCAAAATGCTAGTTACTTATTAAAGCTTTTCCAACATCATATCATCAACATATAAACCAACTTTACTATAAACAGGAATTATACTAATTAACTCCGCTACAATTGCTATTAGATCCAATCAAACACGTCAAACGAATTTTCTATATTTGCTTCAAATTTATTTAACATATTATTCTCTACAATGGCCTACCGTTCTCTTAGTGTTTTTAACCTAGTTAATTTACTAATCACCATGTTCAATCGTCAAATATCTAATCAGAGCTCCAAATTGGATCAGCTCAAATCGGGTACCCGATGGGCCAGGTCATAATAAATAATAAAGAAATTTATACCCAAGGTTTTTTTCTTCCTTTTGTTCAGTTGCTTTTATCTATAAGTGAAAAATATATTACTAAATGATATTATTAATAAAATAAATCATGTAAAAAATTAATGTGAAAAATAAGTACTTAGGTTTAGTTTAGTAAAATCTATTGCTTCTATTGATTCTATAATATAAAAAAAATAATTATATACATCAATAAATATTTAAAGAATGCTTTTATAATGTAATTAATTACCTGAATATTCTTCCAATGAATTATCACCACCTTTTCTATCATCATCATCCTTGTTATCAATAGCATTTTTTGGTTCTGGAAGATTTTTAAAATCTAAAAGTCTACTCATGTAAACTGCTTGAGGATTTGTAACATATGAAAGAGTACAACCAGTATATAATGATGTTGATGATATTAACTTTTCATTAATTTCTTCTGTTTCCTCAACTTGCTTTTTGTTTTCAGTTTCATCATCATCTAATTTTTTATTTAATTCTTTTAATAAATCATATAATTCATTTGCTTTAGGTCGTTTTAAAGGATCTGCATCCCAACATTGTTTAATGATGTTTAAAATAAATTGAGGAATTTTATAATTTGATTTTGGCCTAAGTCCTTGACAAATACTAATAGCTAAGAATTTATCATGAGCAATATCATGATAAGGAGGAAGCCCTGTACATACTTCATATGCAACAATTCCAAATCCATAAATATCACTTTCTTGAGTATATTCTTTTCCTCTTAAAACATCAGGTGCTACATAAGGTAATACTCCATAAAATTAATTAAATACATATTGAGAAGGTTTTACATTTGCTGGTCGACATAATCCTAAATCAGTAATGAAAGTATAATAGCTGTCTTTTAAAATATTACCACAATGAAAATCACGATGAACTAATCCATATTCATGAATACAAGCTAGGCCTTTTGCAACACTTTGTAAAATTATCAACTTTTCATCCCATTTTGTTGAATTAAAATTATTATTTAAATGTTGTCTTAAACTACCATTTATTACATATCCCATTACCATCATAAAATTTCTAGATTCTGGATCTTTAGTAATGCCGTAACAGTGTGTAATATTATCTACATGTTTTGAATAAATCATATGATGGGTTTCAATCTAAAAAAGAATCAATAACAATAATAATAAATAGACAGTTTAGCATTTATAATAAAACAATATCATAGAATTATATACAAATAAGTAACTTACTTCACTTAATAAATCGGATGTAATATCTTGAGAATTATGTAAACATTTTAAAACAACTGGAAAATTCTCATATTCCCTACAATAATATTTACTTCTAATCCAATTATTATTCTCAAAATCCCAATTTGTTATCCATCCATCTTTCCAAATTGCTTTATAGATAGTTCCAAATCCTCCTTTTGCCAAGTATTCAACATTTTCAAATCTATCATATTCAATCCATTCTAAAATGTCACTATTATATTTAACTTTAAGTTGTGTTTTTTGAATAAACTTATCAACTTTATGATTTCCACTAGTCCAATTTTTGAAATTTTGTTGAAGTTTACATCGATATAAATGTCTATAATTTTTAGGCTGCTTACATTTTTTGCATAAACCTCTCTCTTTATAACGTATTTTTAATTCTTCATTTAATATAAGCTTATCAATTAACAAACTTTGTTCTTCAGTTAGGTACTTATGGTTAAAATGTTTTATTTGCTCAAATACATCATCATTGAGCATATATTCTTCCATATTAGATTAATAAACGTAGCTTCAGTTTTATGCCTAAACGGAGCGAAAAAGATGACTTTTTTTTTAAAAAAAAATAAAATAAAAATAAAACGTATTACAGTTGCACAGCGACGATTGACAAATTAATTTTTAACTTAGGCCAACGTTCAGAAGTTCAGCTGACGATCACAGAAGAAATTTCCTTTTTAATAAACTCCGAACAAAATAATTGTTTCACAAAAAAAACTTTGTCGATCACCTAATAACAAATTATTAATTAATCATTATATTATATAGGTATTTTATTTTTAAATACAAGCCAATCAATATCATTATCAGTAACAACATACATTAAAAATAATAATTGCGTCAAAATTGTTTAGATTGAAAATTTTTTTAAAAAAATGTATTATCCAATTAGATTAATTGCTTTAAATATATTTTACCAATAATGAAGTAGTATAAAACTAAAAAAAAAAAATATTTTACCATTATTATGTGAAGGAAATTTGTATTAACGAATGAATTTAGTTATAATATAATTCATTATTAAAGTAGGTCATGTTATAAAAATTTTAATTGCTTGTAAGTATAAAATAATTATTAGAATTTTGGCAACTCTTCCGGACGATCTTCTGTCCAAAAAGTTTTGGAGAAGGAAAATAAATTTTCTGTATAGCCAAGTTTATTAAAACATATTAAAATATGCAAAAATGAAGTCATACATTTCACTAAAAGAGTTTGTAAATATATTTTACGAGGAAATATTCGAGTTAAACTTTTGGGAAAATAGGGACGAAACATAAATATATTTTTCGAGAAAAAGTTGAACGGATGTTTAAACAAATGATAAAGAGATAATAATGTTATTACTAGAGAGTAGCGTTGAAATTGCCCATAAAATATACGTGGATAATATGAAGCGTTTAGGCAAAGACAATGAGAAGTTGCGAGGATGGTTGAGCGAAGCGAACACACAGTCACGTGAATCGAATAGAATTATAATTAAACAGGTCAAAAATAAAGAATCACACAGTACGCCGAAATAAAGCAAGTAAAAAACGGGTTAAGGGACAAACTGGAAAAATCAAGAAATCAGACCATATTGGGTCGATCACGAAAGAAAAAAGAAAAATCGGCGATCACGGAGATTCCCATTTTGGTTGATGATCAGGAGTTAGTAGACGAAGAAAGGTAGGATCTTTGTTTTTTACGTGTATTGGTATGAAAATTACATCATAAAAGAATTATCTAAAAATAGGAAAGGTTTACCGCGTACGAATCAAGAAGCAATTTAAATAAGAGCGCTTATATTGTTGAAGGGAGTAAATAAAATATATGAAGGAGGTTCTTTCGGTACTAGATAAAACAAACATTTTGTTAGAAGGTATGATGGTAAATTGAAGGAAAATGGCAATTGATACGAGGTATGTCATATGAGGAAATGAAAGAATAATAAAGACTATTTTGTCTTCCGCTTTATTTTCATCAAGTTCATCTTCTTTACAAAGTTCTTAAAACCATATCAAAAAATTGGAAATTATTGATGTATTTAAAGAACAAAAATATAATGAAGACGGTTATAAAGAATGGTTTAGAGAGAGGCATGGTATGGTCATTTCGCCGGTTTAAGGAACCAATTAGGAGTAAACAGGAGGAGAAAAGTAAGACAGAGTCGGAACAAGAATCTTTGGACACGCCATATCAAGAAAATGATTTGGAAACGCTACCTCAAAAAAATTTTTTGGAATTGGGCGGTATTAGTAAGTATCAAATGACGAAAAAAAAATTAGGTTCATCTAATGATGTGGAACAGCTAACGTCAGTGTCTGAAGAAAAAGTAGTAGATACGATTAATCAGTTTAGGAAAAGATTAGAGGTTAATGAAGAAAAGACGGTAACGGGAAGTCAATTGAAGAAAGATAACGCAACAACAGACGAAGTGGTGAATATTATCAATGAACAAAGGGAGGAAAAAGATTATTTGTTCCATAACAGCGATACGTTGCTTCACCACTTTTAGATCCAGAAAGATTAAAAGTAGTCCAAAAGTCAAGATGTTGGAAGCTATTTTTACGTCGGCAGGAGAAGAAATGGAATGGGAAAAGATTGAAGAGAAAATTCTTAGGGAAGTTAGAGACTTATAAAAGCAAAAAGCAATGGTTATAAATATGAAGGCGCGAAATCTTTGATCGAATCAAAGAAAGACTGATTAAAGCGGGCGGAATCACATGATGTGATTAAAAAGTATATGACGCTTAACAATGAATTCGAAAAAAGAGTAAAAGAAGAGAACGGAGAAAGGGATGTTACTAATATTAATGAAAAAAGAGCTACGGATGCGTAAGAAAGTGACATTTAGTTTTTGGTCTTAATATTCTAGTTGATGTCACGTGATTTAACGTTAAAAATTTTTTCGAACGAAATTTATAATTATTAAGAATTAATATAGTTTTTCGAATTTTTCCTTTTTTGGTTATATTTGTTCAGAGTAGTATTTACACTTAATGAGTTTGTTTTCTTTGGTTTATTATAATGTTACTAATTAAAAATTTTAGATTAGTTTAGACTAGCAAAGTTTTTTTTAGTCATTTATTTAGTGTAGATATTTATTGAGATGATGTGTTTTTACGCTAAATTTCATTGTTAAAACAAATTGGTATTTAATGATCAAAATTAAAAAATATAATAATTTAAAAATGTCAAAAGTAGTTACAATTAAAGATACTTTAAATTATCTAAATAAAATCGGCAAGTTTTCTTTAAAATAACTAGCTGTATTATTTAGTTTCCATTATTTATGAAAAAAATAAAAAAAAATTACTACTATATTAACAAAATAAAAAATGCATAATATTTGACGGAATTTGCTGAATGTGCACGGTGTATGGATGCGTCCGCCCCATTTGTAGTAGTCTGTTCCTCTGTTATACTTGCTATTTCCAGTTCTTGTTCCACTTGAACAATTGTGGCTTTGACGTTTTCTATCTCCTTGGCTTTTTCTTTGTTATCAATCTCCATGCTCATGGGAACGTAATTATTTTTTTGTCGTTAAAATCTTGCGTAGTATCATTTATGACTGAATCTTGTGACGCAGCATTATAATGTGCTCTATTTTTATACCAATTTCTATTGTTGTTATGTCTAAAAGCTTCCATTCCTTCATGTTCGTAATATGATTTTTCTTGGTAGCTAAGAATTTTGTTTTGTTGAACTGTGGCATAGTATCGGTTTTCTAACTCACTGTATTTTTTATCTTTATCTATTATTATTTGTGTTTGTTGGTCTATTGTGCTTTGCAATAAAATGATTCTATCGTTGAGAGACTGGACGTTTTTGTTAATAAAGTTATTTGTTAGCTCTTTCCTCGATAAAACTATATTTTTTGACATTTTGTATAATAATTATAGTGTTTTACTTAAAAAAGAATTCAGTAAACGTAATTGTGATTATTATTATAATTGATATTGTAATTATTGTAATTGTAATTGTGAATATTAAGAGTTTGAATTCCAAATTCTTTCATAATTCGCTCATCGCGTTCTTTTTCCTCGGCAAGTATCATTTCAAGTTCTGTAACTTCAGCCTTACTATTTAAAGCAGCTTCAGCTTCGGCTATCATAACAGATATTTTACTATTAAGTCTTTTAAGGATGATATCTTCATCATCATCGTCATTATTATCGGATGTCTTGTTGAAATTATTGCTCATTTTTGAAGATGATTTGCGACGTACAAATCTACAGCCACGACGAACACGGAATTGTCTTCGTCGTGAAGTTGAATTTGTTGGTGAATGTGTTGGTGTTGATCGAGTAGTTGGATAATCTTGTTGCGAAGGTAATGTAGAAATTGTAAATGAAGGTTTAGTTTTAGACTGAGTAGTTGGATGATCTTGTTGTGAGGGTGAAGTAGAAATTGTAAATGAAGGTTTAGTTTCAGTCTGAGTAGTTGGATAATCTTGTTGCGAAGGTGAAGTAGAAATTGTAAATGAAGGTTTAGTTTCAGTCTGAGTAGTTGGATAATCTTGTTGCGAAAGTGATGTAGTAATTGTAAATGAAGGTTTAGTCTCAGACTGAGTAGTTGGATAATCTTGTTGTGAGGGTAATGTAGAAATTGTAAGTGAAGAGTTAGTTTCAGTAGAATTATCGTAAGGTTGAGGAGATTCTTCATCTTCAACCGTTTCTACATTTTCATCCCAAGTAGAAACATCTTTTTTCTTATGATCATAGACATTTTCATAATTTTGTCTAGTTGAATGACCTCCGGTACTATTTAACGTATTTCCAGTTAATATATTTATAGCATCATCGGCAAAATCGGAAGTATAGGTAGCAAGTTCAACAACTTTGTATATAAAGTTTGCGACAATTCCTTGTTGTTGTTGGAAATCTTGTATTGAAGTTGACTGCATTTTGTGTTGATATTTTTTTAAAAAGATTTAGGTATATAGTAATATATATAAGGTTTATTGGAAGAAAGGTATAGTAAAGAGCAACAAATAAAATATAAAAAAATCAATTTTTGTTGCTCCGTGCGAGGTATTTTTTAATATATTTTTCGTGTGCGAGAGTAACGGATATTTGGTAAAAAAAAGAAAAAATTTTTTTTTTGCGTATTTTTAAAATTTTATATGTATGTATGTATGTATATATATATATAATTTTTTTATACATGTATTGGATGACTCAAAAGATGACTCAATATTTTTAAGTGGCTCAACTCGTGATTTTTTAATAGATGATAAATTTCACGATAAAACCATACAATTATCACATGATCGGAACTAAACATAATATGAGTAATAACAGATAATAATTAATAACTTGTAATTAGATAATTAAATATTATTTATTTGTAATAATGCGATATAAAAGACATATGATATAATATACATATAAGTAATATATAATATAACAAGTGTTGAAGAATTTTAACATATGTGATGTTATTAATAGAAAGATTTATAAACATTTCTTGATATTTACTTTTTTGTAAATTTCGGGTTCAAAGAACGAAATGCAAAAATACATGTTGCATTTCACAATAGGTTTTGTCTTACCATTAAACTTTTTTTTGATAGATGTATAATAGAATATGCATAATACGCATAATACAATATGAGTCAAATTGTAGTATCACCAAATTTCAGATTTTTTGATTGATAAAATCATTGATCATCAACAATCTATGAATGTATATTTTATTTAGATTGAGTAAATTTATAAAATAAAATTATATGTATTTAAATATTTTAAAAAAACTAGGATAATTGAATAGTGTATTTGAAGGTAATGAATTATTAATAATTTTATATCTATTTGATTTCGTTTTAATATCATCACTTAAGTAAATATCAAGTAAATATTAATAACACGATATTTTGATTTTCCCATAATAACGGAATCGTTAAATGACACCATAATCTGTTAACTAAAATGCATGAATGTAAAATTGAATGATCCTTTTGGAAATATTTTATAATTTTATATGTTAAAAGGGGAAGTATCAAATTGTTATTACGCCCAGCCAATATATTCATTTTTGGAGTGATGATTCCGATATTGTCGCACAATGCGTCAAAATTTAATATTGTTATGAAGTCGCAGTAACTAATCTGTCACGTAATAATATTTATCATGTGACCTCGAACCTACGATTTTACTTTGGTTACTATTACCTTTAATAGTACTATTATTCGAAACTTATTGTTATTATAAACTGTATGTAAAGAATCTTTATGATACAATTGACTAATCTTTATTTGTTTTGAGTGCAACTATTTAACTAAACTTTACAACCTTGCTAACCAATACAAAGCTAAACTAATATATAACGATCCCATTCTTTGTAACTCAACGAGTTTTATTACGACTGTAAATGGTCAATTATGGTTCGAATGTCATGATTTTATTAGTTCAAAATAAATCACATTTAATATATTTTACATTTTATAGTCCTAACTCCTCTTTAATCATGAACTCTTGTTTTCATCAATAAACTAATATAAACTATAATAAAAAATTTTTAAATTATCTATTCAATTATAACTAAGAATTTTGGGAGATGTCTCAAATCTAAAATGGCATCAATGAATCGGAAAAATACGGCCCGACCTGGATTGTACAATGATTGGAGTCATTCCACTTTTGATTTAAAATATCCTTTTTGGTAACTCATTATAAATATAAAAAAAAAAATATTTTTAACTTATATTACGAAAATATCTCAGGTGGAAATTTTAATCACAAAAATTATATATATATATATATAGTTCATATTGTAATAAACCTTTTACTGAAGAATTATGATGTAAAAAATGTAACCCACGCAGAATAATAGGAGGATGGACTAGTGGAAATTCTAGTTTATAAAAGATACAATATATGATAAAAGAGAATATGGTTATAATTTTCTCTAGTGGGTACCATTTGACAGATTTACAGATAGAAAAGAAATTGGGGAAGGTAGATTTGCTAAAGTATATTCTGCAACTTGTATTGATGGTACTATGTCTGAAAAAGTCGCTTTGAAAAGGTTAAATGGATCACGGAATATGTCAGATAAAATATTTATTATAAACTAGGTAACGGGATCCGTTGTAATGTCCGAAGCACTCGTTTAAAATCGCGCGTCAGCCGCGTCACCGAAAAATTAGATCACGTGATAATAATCAATAATACATCATCACGCGTGCGGACAGACATACTTTGCATTACAATGTGTCTAACCGTTAATGTCCTCCGACAATGAAGTGCGTTTTTGTATCTTATTTAATTTATTTTATTTGGGTGTTTAATGGTATTAAATTATTTTATTTTAAATTTATTAAAATATAGTTTAAAATACATTGGAAAATTTCTAATGAAGCTAGATTAGCATTTTATGGATTAACTAAATATCCAGAAACTAAAGAATTTATGATGATTATACAATTTGCTGATAAAGTAAATTTGAGAAGTATTCCTTCAAATAACTTGAACAATATTATGTGGAGTAATAAAATTAATTATTTAGCTGGTATGCTCATAGACTTACAAGATTTTCATAATTAGGATATTGTCATAAAGATTTTCATAGTGGGAATATTTTACGAACTGCTGCTTATATTTCAGACTTTGGTTTATATGAACCAGCAAACGAACAAAAATCAGATGATAAAGTAGCATATCTGTATATGGGGTTATGTCATATATTGCACCAGAAGTCTTAAACGGAAAACCATATACATCATCATCCGATATTTTAGTGTAGGTGTAATTATGGCTGAATTATCATCAGGAAAACCACCTTTTTACAACAAAAAACATGATTTAAGTTTATCATTAGCCATATGTAATGGACTCAGACCAGAATTTGGAAAGGAACTCCTGAATTTTATAAAAAATTAGCTCATAAATGTAACTGAAGAATTAAGAAATAAATTTAATTTTTGGTATGATTCTACTAAACTAAGGTAATTATGATAAAGTAGAAAAATTGGTTATAAAGGAAAAGAAATTAAAGCAGCATTTGAAGAAGCTGATAAAGAAATATTAAACATCTCAACTTCGTATGAAAATAATTCTGATGCTGTACAGTATATACCAATAGAGCGTTTACATTTAGCAATTTATTACCAAAACCTGTTAATTCATCCATTATTACTTCATATGTTAACAATGAAGGTATCTTTTATTTTTAAAATTCTTATTTTTACTTAAATAATTATTAACTTTATTGTTTCAATAGTTTGTGACTCCCAATTAATTGCAATTAAGAGGTATTATAAATATTGACGATGAAAGTAAGGTTGATAATTTAGTGAAAATATTATTTATTTATAAGCTATAGTATAACAGTATAATTGGTAGGTCAATTCCTTGTAATCTTATGATAAAGTCAAGTGACTTAAAAACTTTTAAATAAATATATATATATATATTAACAAGAGTCCATTATTCATGGGGAGCTGTGAAATTTATAATAAGAACTAAGAAATAGTATTTGTTTATTTTTGTTTTCTAAATACAGTAGTTGGAACTGTTCTGTCAGTCGTTTTATAAATAAAATAATGGCTATTAAAGCCATACATAAAAGTTGTACTAATTTAGCTTTCAATTTTAGATTTGACATGAACTTTGCATATATTATTATGAAAATTTTTTTGGTTTTAAAATGATTACGAGCAATTAAAAGTAGGCTTTATTATAAAATTATTAAAATTATTATTAGTTTGTAATTTGTATTTACCTTTTACTAATTCGTTATATCGAATTCTTAATATTTTGTTGTAAGAATGTCGATACACCTACTATATCTACTAACTGTTTCTTTGTTGGATAAAAAAACCGCATTTAACTAGGAAATGATAACCATTGTAAATCAAGAACGAAGAATATTAAATAATAAAAATCTTGTGGAATATAATAGTTCTTTATTTAGGAATTGAGTGAATGAAAATTAGTAAATCACAACAAAATCTCAAAAATATTTCATTTGAAAATGTTAGTTTAAATGATTTTTTATCTTTAGAAAATAATATGAATCTTCCAATTTCATTATTTACAAATTCTAATTGTTTGAATACTTTAAACAAAATTATATTTTTTGATACTGATTTTAAAAATGTGGAATTAAAAGCGATTGAATCATTAAATGTTTTAGAATCAATTCATATTCTTTATTGTATTAATTTAAATTCTGATTTCATTCAACAAATCATAAGTTTTACTAAACCATTTAAATTGAAATCATTATTTATGAAAACAAAAATTCAAATTAGATTATTAGAATCATTATTACAAAAATCTTGTGATTACTTAGAAAATATTGGATTTAAATTATCAATGTATAAGTCGGGACAACTTGAGCCAATTATAAATCAATGTACAAAGATTAGATATTTTGAATTAAAAAGAAAAAATAATAAAAAAAAATAAAAAACTAAAAAAAAAATAAAAAAAAATAAAAAAAAAAATAATAACATAAATAAAAAAAAATATAGAAAAAATAATAAAAAAAAAAATAATAATAAAAAAAATAGTTCAAATATATTTTTAAAATTAGGAGAAATACTTCCTACTAAAATAGAATATTTAAGTTTAAGTCTCATGATTAATACAAGAGATTTTAATACATTTTTATTAAAAAATCGAAATATTATTATTAAAAAATTATTAATCGAAAATTTGATGAAAGAAGGTGATTTAATGCCTTATATAAAGGAACATGTTATGAAAGAGAAAAGAGTAAGATATTTGGCTATTAATGGAGGTGTTTCTGAAAATGATATAAAGGAATTTTAATCTTATAATATTAAAATTGTGAATTTTGATGATTTTTATATTCGAGCTTATGGATTTGTAAACGAAATGCATTAGTTTTATCAATAGTTTATTACAAGTTGTAAAATGTGAATTATTTATAATAAATAAAGAAAGTTAATTTTTAATTGCTATAAATAAGTTTTTTTTGACATCATATCACTACTATGAAATATATTAGTCATACCATCCGCAACTATAGTGTACGGTATTTGGTATTTCATATAATCTAACAGATTTTATTCCTAGCTTCATGATGTTTTATGTAATAGCGTAATATTTAATTGTATTATTTAACGAAATTTAGTCAAATATTATAACCAGTCCTTCCAGATAAGAAATTTAGCCAATCTCTAAAAGATGGTTGCAAGTCATTGTTTTACTACAAAACCATTATAAGAATATAATTAATATTTTAGTAATAGTTGACATGTGTGCGTCAGATTGATATCTGACGTGCCACCAGCCGCCACTTGTATCACATGATATAGTCCATAGTAAAAATGATATTCTATAAGTAAACTTGTATATCACAATGAATTATACACATTAATCATGAGCTTGAATCTATAGATTAGAGTTACACATTTCTAATAAAGAATTTACCAATGACAAGTGACGCATGTCGGAATCAATCTACGCCTGATGCAAATTGACACCTGAGGTGTTTTACGATGCACCAGCAGTTTCCATGAAAATTTAATGAATTTGAGTTCAACATCTATTTCAATGTTATTATTACGCACATAACCTGAATATTCCTTTTTTGTTATATGATGGAATTTTTACCGTTAATGATGGAAATCCACTACTGTAACTTTCAATAAAAGAAAAAGGACAATGATATTTAACATTTATTAGACTAGTAGTATATTTTTAAAAAGAGTTTATGTTTAAAGGGAAGTTAGGACTATAAAATGTGAAATATATGAAATGTGATTTATTTTGAACTTGTTCATTTCTAATGAAATCATGACATTCGAATTTATAATAAACCATAATTGAGTTAATTATGCAAATTTTTTAGTATCTTAATTTTATCATACCTTCAGAATTGTTATATGTTGTGAAACATTTTTTTTATTAAACTTAGCATTTATCAAAAAAACGTTTTCAAATAAATTTACGTTGCGCAAAACATAATATGGCGCAGTAATCGTAAATCAAACTTTTACATTTTATTGAATAACTCGGCAACCAATAATTGTGTTATTAATTATATTAATGTTATACTTTAAAAATTCGGGTAAGATTTTTAGAATCTCATAAACTTAAATACGAATTACAAAATTAATTAAATTTAAAAAGACAAAGTAACCTTGGCCAATCAAATTGCTAATACCAAAAATAGGATCAACAAATTTCATACCAAATCTACTCTGATCAGTAAATTAAATCCCAAATTTATATTTGTTTTTTTTCATTTAACTAGAAATTGCGTTTTGCGGGGGACTTCGTCCCCCATTGTTTAATTTTGTGTATTGAAATGTCGATATCAAATCAAGTTGCATTTTACTGGCGTTTATAAAATGCTCTAACAGAAAAAATTTAATTTTTTTTTTTTTTTGATTCAAATTATTTAATGATAAGTGACAACTAACATTATCATATTTATTAAAAGCATTTATTAAAAGTATTTACAAAAAAAAAAATAATAATTTACTGTATGCTAATAATTAAAATTCCACCTTTACTAAAAATTTACATGTTGTTAATGGTTTGGATATTGGTTCCAGTTGGTTCGATTCCAACAGACAACAAATAAAGATAAGAAATTCCATAGAAGCTAAAGTCCTATAAAAATCGTGCATTATTTATAAAAGATCTACTATTGGGATTCAGGTGCCGATTTCCCTACAAAAAAAAAAAGTAACATTAAAAATAATAAAAATAAAGTTTTTTTTAAAGTTTTGAATCAAAACTTACTTATGGTATCCAAATCGGAGTCAATTTCCTTAAAAAGAAAATTCTGGAGCATTCTTTGAATCTCACAGATCCAAAGATATCGCAGCTGAAACCTACAAAATAAAGAAAGAGTCAAATTAAAAAACAATTTTTATTAAGAAGTTTTGAAGTATTTGCTTCAAAACTTACCATTTCAATGCCTAAAGATNAAAGAAAATTCTGGAGCATTCTTTGAATCTCACAGATCCAAAGATATCGCAGCTGAAACCTACAAAATAAAGAAAGAATCAAATTAAAAAACAATTTTTATTAAGAAGTTTTGAAGTATTTGCTTCAAAACTTACCATTTCAATGCCCAAAGATATCACAGCCGATACCTACAAAATAAAAAAAATAAATAAAATTATAAATTTTTCTGAAAGTTTGAAAAAAACGAAACTTTGAAACTCACTGACCCAAAGTTTAAGGAGATATTGCAGTCGAAACCTACAGAATAAAAGAAAATTTTAAAAAATAATTTTTATTAAAAAAGTTTTGAAAAGAAAATGAAACTTACCGATCCAAAGCCCAATGAGATGTCGCAGCCATTACCTATAAAATAAAATAAAATAAAATAAAATTAAAAATCTTTTTTAAAGTTTCAAAAAGAAAGCAAAACTTCAATACTCACCTATCCAAAGCCCAAGGATATTACAACCGATAACTACAAAATAAAAAAACAAATAAATAAAATTAAAAAAAATTTTTAAAGTTTTGAAAAGAAAACAAAACTTTGAAATTTACCTTTAAATCAAATGCATAAGAACTGAAAGCCGAAATCTACAAAAATAGAAGAAAAAAAAAATTAAAATAAATTAATTTATCTTAAAAAAAGTTTCAGCTCTTTCGCTCTGAAACTCACCTATATATCAAACACCCAGAAACAAAAAGCCAAAACCTACAAAATAGAAGAAAAAAAAAATTAAATAAATAATTTATTTTAAAAAAAGTTTTGGTTCTTTCACTCCAAAACTCACCTATATATCAAACGTCCAAGAACTGAAAGCTGAAACCTACAAAATAAAAAAAAAACAAGTAAATTAAAAAAAATATTTTTTAAAAAAGTTTCAAAGTTTTCACTTCGAAACTCACCAATATCAAATGCCCAAGAACTGAAAGCCGAAATCTACAAAATAGAAGAAAAAAAAATCAAAATTAATTTATTTTAATAAAAATTTCAGCTCTTTCACTCCGATACTCACCTATATATCTAAACCAAAAGCTGAAATCTACAAAATAAAAAAAAGTAAGTAAATTAAAAAACTTTTTTAAAAAAACTTTCGAAGTTTTTGCTTTGAAACTCACTGAAAGCCAAAATCTATAAAATAGAAGAAAAAAAAATTAAAATAATTTATTTTAAAAAAAGTTTCAGCTCGTTCGCTTTGAAACTTACTTATATATCAAACTTCCAAGAACCGAAAGCCAAAACCTACAAAATAGAAGAAAAAAAAAATTAAAATTAATTTATTTTAATAAAAATTTTGGCTCTTTCACTCCAAAACTCACCTATATATCAAACATCCAAGAACCGAAAGCTGAAATCTACAAAATAGAAGAAAAAAAAAATCAAAATAAATAATTTATTTTAAAATAGTTTTGGCTCTTTCACTCTGAAACTCACCTATATATTCAATACCAGGAACTGAAAGCCGAACCTACAAAATAGAAGAAAAAAAAAATCAAAATAAATAATTTATTTTAAAAAAGTTTTGGCTCTTTTGCTTCGAAACTCACCTATATATTCAACACCCAAGAACCGAAAGCCGAACCTACAAAATAGAAGAAAAAAACAATCAAAATAAATAATTTATTTTAAAAAAGTTTCGTCTCTTTCACTCTGAAACTCACCTATATATTCAACACTCAAGAATCGAAAGTCAAACCTACAAAATAGAAGAAAAAAAAAATCAAAATAAATAATTTATTTTAAAAAAGTTTCGTCTCTTTCACTCCGAAACTCACCTATATATTCAACACCTAAGAACCAAAAGCCAAGATCTACAAAATAGAGAAAATAGAGGGAAAAAAAAATTAAAAAAAAATTTTTTTTTTTAAAAAAAAGGTTCAATTCTTTCGTTCTAAAACTCACCTATATACTCAAAGTTCAAAAACTAAAAGCTGAACCTACAAAATAAATAAAAAATATAAGTAAATTAAAAAAAATTTTTTTAAGTTCCGAAGTCAAAACTTACCCATCTAACGTCCAAGAACTAGAAGCCGAAACCTACAAAGTAGAAGAAAAAAAAATTAAATAATTTTTTAAAAAAATTTCATAGTTATCATCTATATATTGATTATATTCAATGCTTAGGAACCGGAAGCCAAAACAATTAAAAATAATTTTTTTTTGAAGCTTTCACCTCAAAACTCACCCATATATCCAACGCGGAGCCAAAATCTACAAAATAGAAGAAAAAAAAAATTAAAAAAAAAATATTTTTTTTTAAAAGTTTCAAATCGAAACTTACCTATTGGAGATCTGGTATCCAAATCGGAACCAATTTCTCTACAAAAATAAAGAAAAACATCATTTTTTTTTAAAAGTTTCAAATTTTGAAACTTATTGAGATTCCAATATCCAGTTGATTTCTTTACAAAAAAAGAAAAAAACGTTAATGTTTTTATTTTTAAAAAGTTTATATAATTTTTATTAGAGTCAAATACCCTACAAAAAAATAAAAAAATTAAAAAATTAATTTTTTCTAGAAATTTCTCTAATAAAAAATACTAAGTTTCGTAACAAAGTAAACTATTACAAAACTCACCTTTCCACCTATCCAAACTTGTCTGAACATAACAAAATAAAAGGAAATATTAATAAAAATGTTTCCTTCCAAGAAAAAATTTTTTTTTTTTTTTTAGTAAAACGAAAAAAAAGGGAATTAAATAATGATAAGTATTGTAATTGGATAATGATAATCAAAAAAAATGATGTTTCTTTCTAAAAAAAGAAAGAAAAATGATTTTTTTTAAAAAAATCCAAGATCTATTTATGACGCAATATTTTTTTTATCCAACCAATTTTTTTTTTT